TATTGTGCTATAGATTCCAATGTTTTGTATCACAAGTTTATGAAATTAGTTTTCTTTTTTTTTTGATACCATTGATACCAACAAAAGATTTAGAACAAAAATATTAAATCCTGCCAGCCTACAGATTGAATTTTTTTTTCTTAAGTTGTTTACACATAGGTTACTTCTAGGTTAAATTTTCCTGTCTTTCTAAATAATAATTATTAGGTACTTTGCAAATTATTTTTTTTCACTTTCAATCAAATAAATTCATCTATCATAGAAATTAAAAAATCATAAGTAGTCAGGACCATTGCAACAACCATGCGACCAGGGTATTTATGCCGATTATAACCAGAAGTAAAATGCCAGTAGTGACCATATGAAATTTTGTTTAACACATTTTATCATCATTTTACTATCCTTGCAAGGTAATAATTGCAAAAAAACATCTAAATCTTCTCTAACTTTAATAAAAATTATAAATACCCAGTTTTTGGGTATTTACCCGGGCCTGGGGTAAATACCCGGGTAAAAACCCAATTTATATTTACCTACCCACTGGGTATTTACCCGGCCCACATCACTAGGTACACACATTTTGGACGAGTTACGTACGATAGTTTACGCCATACTACTAAATCCGTACAAATCCTTATATATTTCCACCAACTAAAGGACTAAAAATCACTAGTCATAACCTCTAAGAGAGGTTATGTTTTTGTTTATAACCACTCACTGCCACCTAAATACAGTATAATCAGCTGATTGGTGTCCGGCAAAACTCATTGCAGCACAGTAGTACGCAATGAAACCCCATTTGAATAAGCTGGCGGCAAACAGCTGTTTTCTGGACTAAATCCTTGCGTGGGAAGTTCGTCAAAATAATGTAGTGTGGCGTAAAACATATTAATATGTTTTCTGTGTTGTTAGCTTGGGCATTAGAGTTGTGTATTGGATTATAGTGGCCGGGTGGACCCCGCCTGGTGATAACTCGCGTTGTGGTTTCTATTGGTAAGTCGTCGTGTAACTCACTTTGTTTTAGGCACTCTGGGCTTAAGTATTGGATAGTTAGGACGAAGCCCGAGTGGCGTAGTCAGCAACGACCCCCTAGGAGAGTGGAGAATTGGCGTAGGCCTGGTGGTGATTATTGCACGTTTGTTTTGGTGACTTGGTTTTGACTTGTTCAAAGTGCCCGTGTATGAGCCAGTCCTATACCGGTTGGACCCAGCTTTTTGGCCTAGTGGTTTCCCTTATCGCAGACCCTGGAATTTCACCAGCCCCAGCCTACCATAGTCGTAAATTATCTTACTTTACCAGAGAACGAAGCTCGTCGCAGGATCTCTTCACCTCAGGGCTACCCGGCGTGCCTCCACCAAAATCTGTCACGTCACCCTCGGGTGACAGGGGGGATGGGAGTGTAGACTCAATAGACACAAAAGAGACTTACCTTAAAATAGAGTAATTATTCAACATTCACCCTCTCCTGAACTAGGTGGCAAACTTCGTAACTTCCCTACGTTACACAACACTGCCCTAAACCCTACGCGTACAATCACACTCTTCGTAGACGACTGGACGGTTCTACCCTTAACGCCCTGCCTTGAAGAATCACGCTCCTGGTACATCTCCGGCGTCTTCTCCTCGAGTCCCGATACTCCCGCTCGACTCGGCGCTTCGACACAATCCCCGCCCGGGGTCTCAACACTCACTGTCTCTGGCTGCTCATCCGTGGACTCTCCCCTCAACTTGTCTGATAACATTTTTTCTAAAATATTTACATAAATAATACATATTTATTCCCAATTTAAACAACATTAGATTTAACGAGTGCTTAGGTTTGCTGCTACGGGGAAGGTAAAAAGTGTTTTTGACCATACGTCAATAGTATAGGATGAAATAAATAAATTTGCCAAATGTTATCAATATATATCCATAAACAAGTAAACTACAACAGTTTTCATTTTATCCCTAAGAATAACATGGGAATTTTTAATGACACTATTTTTGAATTTTCTCCGTGACCGTTAGGCATACAAGAGAGCTTCAATATACTGAATTATTTCTTTTTTTATGTTCTACAAAAAGTTTTAAAAAGAAATTACAATTTTTTTGTTTTTAGGGTTAAAAATGGGAAAAACCCATTTTTACCCCATACAATCCCCCATAAATCCCCGTTCCCGTAGTCCGATTATGCGAACTCGTTCGAATAAACGTAGGTTTTTACGTTTTTACCAAATTTCATCAAAATCGGATAATTTTTGCTCGAGTTATCACGCTAACGGACACACACACATATACTCTGTGTTTTTGAACTCCAGCAAAAATGATCCGATTTTGATGAAATTTGGTACAAACGTGTAAACCTACGTTTATTCGAACGAGTATATATATATATATATATTGTTCTTGCGAGTTTCTTGATAGAATTATGAAAAATGAAACATGAAACAGTGCAAATTTTCGTTACACTTCCCTACGTTACACAACACTGCCCTAAACCCTACGCGTACAATCACACTCTTCGTAGACGACTGGTTCTACCCTTAACGCCCTGCCTTGAAGAATCACGCTCCTGGTACATCTCCGGCGTCTTCTCCTCGAGTCCCGATACTCCCGCTCGACTCGGCGCTTCGACACAATCCCCGCCCGGGGTCTCAACACTCACTGTCTCTGGCTGCTCATCCGTGGACTCTCCCCTCAACTTGTCTGATAACATTTTTTCTAAAATATTTACATAAATAATACATATTTATTCCCAATTTAAACAACATTAGATTTAACGAGTGCTTAGGTTTGCTGCTACGGGGAAGGTAAAAAGTGTTTTTGACCATACGTCAATAGTATAGGATGAAATAAATAAATTTGCCAAATGTTATCAATATATATCCATAAACAAGTAAACTACAACAGTTTTCATTTTATCCCTAAGAATAACATGGGAATTTTTAATGACACTATTTTTGAATTTTCTCCGTGACCGTTAGGCATACAAGAGAGCTTCAATATACTGAATTATTTCTTTTTTTTATGTTCTACAAAAAGTTTTAAAAAGAAATTACAATTTTTTTGTTTTTAGGGTTAAAAATGGGAAAAACCCATTTTTACCCCATACAATCCCCCATAAATCCCCGTTCCCGTAGTCCGATTATGCGAACTCGTTCGAATAAACGTAGGTTTTTACGTTTTTACCAAATTTCATCAAAATCGGATAATTTTTGCTCGAGTTATCACGCTAACGGACACACACACATATACTCTGTGTTTTTGAACTCCAGCAAAAATGATCCGATTTTGATGAAATTTGGTACAAACGTGTAAACCTTCGTTTATTCGAACGAGTATATATATATATATATATTGTTCTTGCGAGTTTCTTGATAGAATTATGAAAAATGAAACATGAAACAGTGCAAATTTTCGTTTAATACAAACGTTTTCAAGCAAAGAGAAGAATTAAAGAAAAATGTAAAAATGAACAAAACAAATAAATACGAACTGTTTACAAATAGTTTAATTTTGAGAACATATGATTGAGTACAGATCAAAGAAAAATAAAATCAGCCTAAAAGAATATTAAAATTCAGCTGAGTTGAATCACTTTTTTTAATATCTTAAATTTAAATTTATTATTTAAATTATTATTTAAATTTAAATTAATTTAAAGGGGAGCTTTGTTTTCAGTACCAACTGGTGAGCCAATTCAGAATCCAGTTGGTTGCATTTAGGGTTATGATTATAGATTGGGTTTCTTTTGTCTTCACATCAAAACGATGGCCTGTCATTCGAACTCTTAAAGAGTTTGAAGTCCGGCCAATGTATTATTTTGGACAATGTTTACACGATAGTTGATAAATCACATTGTGAGTTTCACAAGTTGATCTACCAACAATCGGATAAACCTTGTTTGTAACTTATTTGCTATGGTATCAAATTCAGCTGTACTACTCATAATTTTGCAAATACCACATCGGGGCTTGTGACATAGTTCACAGCTGTGTTTAGAATTGTTTGAAGGCCGAGAATTTTGAATTTTGGGTCTCCCCAACATATGTTTAGCGAATTTCCCAAATAGGGAATAAGCTATTACCGTAGTACTCATGGTGGACCCGGGACCGATATAATTTTTCGTTTTTGTGGTCCCTAGAAGCAAAAAACACCATCCGTTCAAATTCACATATACAGTATATATATGACTAAATGCGGAGATATGCTGAAAAATCATGGGGTAAAAAAGTTATGGGGGGTTGAATGTTTGAATAGAATTTAAAATGAGGCTGGTTTGATGCTATGTTCCAGCAAGTTTACCAGGACAACCTGAACGGTTGTAGATATTGTTTAATTTAACATGTAAACTAAGCAAATGACTGTGTTTTGCCATAGACTAACCAACTCAAGTAGACTTCTCATCCCATTGTAAATTTTGAAGCTCGTTTTTCATGTCTAGTTCATGTACGCCACACTGGGCAATAGTGTCGACGAAATTTTATTTCTATTATTTTAGTGTTAATTTCTTGATTTGTGCTTTACTGTTTGGTTAAATAACTAGGGGACAATTTATTGTTTATGATTAGATTGTATTATTTGGTTAAACGAGGTTTTAAATGACTGTATTAACGGGAAACAAATTGTAAACAAAACACGACCTCTACATAAACCGTACAGAACTAACAATAAAATTGTCTTCAGCTGTTCATTAGGATGAGAAATCTACTAAGGGAGTATGTTTTATCTATGGTTTTGCCTTAGAACCAGTTATAATTTTCAGATATTCCCAACTGGTAATATTTTTAAAATGGGAAGAGTACAAAAGAAAAAAAGAATTGAGTGTTGAGTGAGTTAACAGTAAACTTCACAGTTTCATAGCATACTACTGAAGTCAGCCAATTTTGGCAAGAAAACCAGAAAAGTTAAACAGCTGTCTCCTCACTTGTCTGTCTCTCTTGCTTCTGTTTGTCGTTGTCAACAAGTTGAAGTTGTCATTGTCTCTGTCTGCCTGCAGTGTCGTGTCAGTCGTTTCGTTAATAGTTAGTGTAGGCCTAGTTTAGTTGTTTACCGTTACTCTCTTTACAAACGAACCTTGGTGTAAGATGAAATTCAGAAAATCGGTAGAAAATATTTTAGTTTTCGAGTAGGAAATTAAGTAAACCTAACCAATTAATATTAAAGAACCAGCACAAATGTAATCAGTTTTCTGAGGCTTAAGTTCATGGTTTGTGTAAAATAACCAATAACAAGTAACACTGTCATTTTAGGTTAGTTCGTAATTTTAGGTATTCCGTATTTCTAGTCAAACATGGATAGGTTTGAATATTGTGACTCAAGATTAGCGGCTGGAGAGAGGGATATGTGTATAGAAAGAAATGTTAAGCTGTATGATGGTGATTTGAAGGTAGGTGCTTGGTAAAAAATTGTTAGAAAGCTAGTATGGCTTGCCTACTTAATGTAGACCTTTAAACAGCCTTTTTGTATTTTCATCATTATTGACATTTTACCATTAAGGACCCCAAACGATTTCAGGGGGAAAAATCCAAATCCCTTTCTTTTAACAGGCTATGCTGTGTATTAAACCTGTCCTGCTCAGACCGAAGTCAAAGGCACTTGGACAGCAACACAAATGCATTATTTGAAAAGGACTAGGCCTCTGAGTATGATGGTATATTAGTTAGAAGTTACGGTACCTACCAATTTTTTGAGGACCAATAGGGGTCTCAAGCCTACAGTTCCGCAGAGAACGGAACCCAATAAGAATAAGCTCTCGGACAGTGATAGACAGTGTTGTCTTAAACTTCTGATTTTATATTAGCGGATGAAATTGTCATTCAAAATAAATGTTACTTAAACATTTCATTAGGCCTACATGTCCTTTTCTAGCCCAAATGTAGTGTAGATGTTTCTATTACCTATTAGTCCTAATATGGGTCTATACAATGGTGGCGTCGTCCTGTAATCCAGCTACTAGAAGGTCAGGAATTGTGGATATTTATAGGCATGCACCGTGGATGCGATGCTCCCTAGTGTAGATTAACGTCCGCACTAGTGAGTACTACGACTATCTGCAGTAGTTTTTGTCAAATGCTCGTTCATTTTCACGATGAGCTCGTTCGCATGGCTCAATCACGTCTTGTTTGAAGTTCGTTCGCTACGCTCACTCACCTTTAGGTTGAAGCTTGTTCGCTGCGCTTACTTGCCATCAGGTTAGATCGTTCGCTACGCTAACTCACCTCCAGGTTGAAGTTTGTTCGCTATAAGGCCTACCCTCACTCACCTTTTGGTTGCAAATTAGCTGTTGTCATAAATTTAAAAAAATAATAGTGCTGCACCCGTTGGTAAACCTATTAACTTTTTAATGCTATCGAACACCACAGAATCAAATTGTTTAGTTGAAGCAGCTGTTAAGATTCTTTAATTCCATTTAAATATGAGTACTTATAAGGTTAACATGGGAAACTCCAGAGCCACTGGGGCGTAGCCCTTTTGACGGATCTGCGCCAAACTTCACACAAACCATCCTTGAATAATGCTTAATAATGCCTGAAAGTTTCATTACAATCTGTCGAGCGGTTTCGGAGTCCATAAAGGACAAACAAACAAACAAACACACATTGGATTTTATATAGGCCTATATAGAAGACTAATTTTAAAAGGTTTATTTAAAGAATACACTTTTAGGCAGCGGGAGTAAATTTGGAGAGTGGTAAGTGGTGACACTGCAGGCACTAAGCACTAAGCAGAAGCCAGACGGCTTTTAGGTTAGTTCACAGTAGACTTATAAGAAATATTAAATGAGACATGTAATTCTGAAATACATTGATGTTATTTGAGGCGTCCAGGTTCAAAGTGGCCTAAGTGCCGAATTGCAAAATGTTGGAAAATGATGGTTGTCGTATGATGGCTATTTGATTTCAAGTGTTAGCTCAGGAAACTGCTTTGTTTAATGTTGCACTTATAATTTTTTATCTTTTTAACATGATTACACCTCTGGAATGCCTGATAAAACATGAGTTTGTGGTTCAAATTTTTCCAAACTTTCCTGGGGAAGGCCCCCTCTCTTTATTGCATACCCCCCAGCCACCTCCTCCCCCCACATGAATGCTGATTCAGCTGGTTCTCTATCCAAGTGACCATTGATGATTTTACTAAACGCCCAATGATTAAGGGCAATTGGTTCTGTTTTTAACCATCAAAAAGCAACTAACTTGTTACACGATCGAATAGCCAAGCTAAATTGTCGCAAGTTACTAATTATTTAATCACCTATAATATTGAGATAAAACTAAAAGGTTAAGTAGTTGCTAAAATTGTGAGCAAATATGACAATCTCTTAATAGCAGGACCTAGGGAAATTAACTAGTCTTTTGGAACAGGAGGTATGTTATCATTATTGAAGTTGTGTGATTGATTCTAGCCAATCACAAGTCTATGAAATTGTATAAAGATTTTTATTGAGGACTGACTTATCCTTGTAACCATTGTCATTAACAATTCCTTTGCATTGTATTGTAGACCTCTTTCGAGCATGGAGAGCTACTACTGACCACCCATCGTCTAGTGTGGGGACACAATGATATTTCTCAAGAACAAACTTGTCTCTCTCTTCCACTCAAGTTTATTGTGTACATGGAAGAAGAACAATCGAGTGGATTTGGGTTCTCCAAGTCAAAAAAGGTGCTTTTACATCTTACAGAACCAACAAGAGGTTAGTACATATCACAGTTGTGGTTTTTAAACATCAAAATCCAATAAACTCATACTTAATTCTAATTGTCCAGCCAATATTTATTTTTTATTTTTTTAGATGAGATAAGCAGGACATACCGTAGGAGTTTAGCTGGGAGGTCGCTAGTTTATATTGTTGATAAGTGTCCGTATTTAATGAGAAGAAATTCTTCAGTCCAGCTATTATTAGTGGAGGGGGTAGCCGCTGGTAATAGACCACCGTTGCCTAGGGTAGATCCGGGTGAGGTTCATTTGTCCGAGTTTTCAACTGTCCGAGTAGAGTCAACATAAAAAATGTGACACTGCGCGCCGAGACTGGCATCTCAGGCGCCTGGTCAGAAGCGGGTGTAAACCTCTTCTGTGAAGGCATTATCAACCATGCAGCCTTACAGTTGTGATAATGTAGTGTCTGCGACAAGAGAGGTATTATTAATTTTCGTAAATATTCACGCACAGATGATGCATTTCTTGCTAAGTTAAAATAGTGACTTAACACTGTAAATCATAAACATTGTATAATGTATTTATTCATTTTATATCATATTTGACAATTTATTCTGACTCATTAAAAAAATCAAGAAATATAGAATATGAAATATGTAAACTTAACTTTCCAACACCAGGAATAGGCCTAATATAAAAAATATTCTTGTCCCATACCAATATTCTTGGCAGTGACTGTTCAGTTGAGTTTTATATACAATAACAATTTATTATGCTATAGTATGCGTCGGTGTGCAAGCAAGCAGACGACGACAATATTGATGTAGCCAAAAACAGGGATCGGGAGAACAATAAATATGTGGCTGATTTAGTCAGTAGTTGGCAGTTATTGGATGGTGTTGAAATATGGGGTTTGGAAAATTATGAGCACACAATGTAGGTTTTATTTATTTTATTATTAAAATATCTTCATATAGGTAGGCCTAAAGCTGAAAATTGTATAATAAACATTAATTTTTTTAACCCTTTGCGGTCGAATGGCGAGTATAGGTCGCCGCCCGCCATTTTGCCGACTGCTCGAAAAATGGCAACCTACAAGGACCAAAAAAAAAATCAAAAACCAGAAAAAAGTTAATTTAAGTTAAAAATCAAAAAGTTAATTTTTTGGTCGAATGGCGAGCATAGGTCACTGGGCACCATTTTCCTGACTGCTTGAATGGCAAGCTAAATTTGCCAAAAAATGTGGAAAATTCGACGTCAAAGGGTTAGATAATAGGTTACCGGATTACCCGCTTGAAATAAATTCGGGTATTTCTTCTACCTGCCCGACACTTCGGGTTATGCAAAATTACCCGATTTTCGAGTCCGGGTCGGGTACCCGCAGACCCCTAATTTAAATAACATTAGGTCTAACGAGTAAATAGCTTAGTACAAAATAAATATATTTGCCAAGTTTGATCAAAATATATCAAAATACCCGCCGCAGCAAACCTGCAGACTTAGCGAATTTCCATTTGTCTGATTGGATTTAAACTAAAATGTCTCCTTAAAAATATCACATGTATTCCCTACTAGCAGAGTACCCGTCCTTCGTACAGGGTTGGAATATAAGTATAAAATGCTTATTGCAGTTATACTCAAGCTTTGCGTTTGCAATAAAGGAGGACACAGTTTGATAAAATTTGTTTTTTTAAATTTACAGTATTCTATAGTATTAGGCCTACACATCTACCATAGCCATAATGTTCTACCACTACACCTAAACTTACTTACTTACTTACTCCCAGGGCCATTTATATCGGAGGTGATATTTGGCCGCACCAACAAATCTTCGCCAAGTTAACCGGTCTTTCGCATCATCCTCCGTTGCCCCAATTCTCTCCAAATCTTCTTGCACTTGCTTCCACCACCTCTGCTTAGGTCTTCCCCGGGGTCGTCTTCCTGTAGTGTTTCCCTTTAAAACTCTTCCCAGTCTACAATCTTCATCTCTTCTTAATATATGACCAGCCCATCTGATTCTTCGGCACTTGATTTCTCCAATTACATCTGTGCTATTATACAGTTGCCTTAATTCCCTATTGTGTCTTATTCTCCATTCTCCTAGCTCGAATATTGGTCCAAAAATCTTCCTTAAAATTTTATTACTACACCTAAACAATAGAGAAAAATAAATTATCAACAATTTGCAAAATATCGCAAATTATTCGTGAAATTAAAAACATAAACATAACTGTAAACAATCCTACTTTGACAGTTCTCATTGTGAATCACAGTTTTTTCGTTGCTGCTTAGTTCAAATTAGCTGTTTTCATAAATGCAAAAAAATATAGTGCTGCACTATGTTGGTAAATCTTATAACTTTTTAATGCTTTTCCATATCATAGAACCAACTTTTTTAGTTGAAACAGCTGACTAAATTCTTTAATTCCCTTTAAAAATATGAAAACTCATAAGGTTAACATGGGGAATTACAGAGCCACTGGGGCGGAGCCTGAAAGGATTTTTGAGAAGAATATGCCTATATGTTAATCGGAAATGTGAGCTATCATCATGCCAAATTTCAGCCCAATCCGTCCAGTGGTTTATGCGTGATTGAACTTTAAACACACAAACAAACAAACAAACACACAAACTTTCACACTTATAATCCTATATATTAAAACGAAACAGGGTTTTTTTATTTCACGATTCTGAATCAACCACTTGACGGATTTTTATGATTTTTGTGTTGAAAGAAAGATAATTTTGAGAACTAGGGAATGTCAAAGCCATAATTTTAGTTTAGGGTTTCAGTTTTTTAGAAATTAAGTTTTAATTTTCAAAAAGTCTAGCAGCCGACGGACGAGTTAAAGTCGTTTAATTTAGTGGTGGTTTAACTAACAGCTGGTTTCTAACTGTCATTGAAATGTTTATGTTACAAGTTGTTTGTATACAAAAATATTGATCGTCAGAGTTTGTCTACACACTATTTTACTTTAAAATGCAGTTTATTTTCTACCGTAAAAGATCTATGTTATAAGGAGATTGTGTAATTTTGAACTAAACATTTTAAACGTATAATCAAGTTTTGTCATAAGTTCAATCCGTCTAAGTATAAGTGCTTAATCCTTTAAGATATAAGTGGTTTACGTGTTGATACATATTTTTCTAGATGTTTGAATATAAGTATGACTGCATACAGTAAACTTACACATTTTATTTCGTAATGAAAATATCAACCGGTGTAGTAGGTCTCCAGAAAACTGACCAGTAAGCTGCAGGGTGTCAATAGAAACCAAAATCGATTCATGCCATATCATAACTATCCCAGTAGTACTGTATGATTCAGAAACTTGATAAAGGGGTACATTCCAAAAGTAGACCAAAAGGCTCGGTCTCGGATGGGCTGGGCAGGCTTTGCGTGGCGGAGAGAAGATACTTCAACTTTTAAAAGTGTATTCCAAGGAGTACTACGAGGTAGACGACCACTTGGAAGACCAAGTAATGAAAGATATCTTCAGACTGGTATCTTCCTGTCATCCAGAAATGGCAGGGGATTGAAGAGAACGGGAGGCCAGGATCATTTTAGAGGTTTCAGTGGCGAAGGTGGTAAAATAAGGTACGGTAAGTGATAGTAGGCCTATGCAGTGGAAGGTGGTATGTAGCTACTGTACTCAAAGCCAGTGTGTGTGAATCGGCCACCAAGTTGTAAACTAGCTGTTCTGAATCATATTCAGTTTTAATTGACTACTCGATTCCCGTAGGTAGGACGGGCCAACAGCTCGTATTAGTAAGATTTAAACAGAATTAGGCTAGTTTAATCAGTATTTAGGTTTGCTGCAACAGGGAGGGTAAAAAAGTTTTTTTTTTCATGTAAAATGTTAAAAGGTACTGTGGTTTAGTAAGAAATTAATGTATTTTCCAAATTTGATCAAAATATGTTCATAAACAAGCAAACTACAACAGTTGACTTATTCTCCATAAGAATAACATGGGAATTTTAAAATTACAATTTTTTTGAATTTTCTCCGTAACATTTAGGCGCATAATAACGCTTCAATATACTAAATTTTTTGTTTTTTTAAGCTCTACAAAATGGTTTAAAAATAAATTGTGAAATTTTGTGTTTTTAGGGTCAAAAATGGGAAAAACCTACTTTTACCCCATAAAATCCCCCATAAAGCCCCGTTCCCATAGTCCGATCATGCTGGTTCGCAAACTCATTCAATTTTATCCCACCTTACACCTTCAAACCAAATTTTATCAAAATCAGACAAAAAATTACTCAAGTTATCGTGTGGATGGACACATATATATATATATATAAAAATTTGAACGAATGGTGTTTTTGGCCTCTGGGGACATCAAAATGAAAAAGTAAATCGGTCCCGGGCTTAAGTCTTACCATGAGACCTACGGTAATAGCTACTTCCCTATAGGGAAATTCGCTAAAACAAGCAAACTACAACATTTTACAATATTCTCCATACAGGGGTGCCCAGATGGGGGAGACGCGCCACAGGAATTTTTGGGGGGAAATATTTTTTTGCTAGTTGTCATAATGAATGTATAACTTTGTATAAGCAGCCCGAAAAAGTGTTTCTAAGTAGCTCACTATCAACACAAACAACATTTTGCCATTCTTAATTAAGATTGCTTCTAAGAATGGTAAAAACGCACCTTGTCAGACAATCCTTAAGGATTAAGGATTCACAATAGTATTAGGGATTTACAAAAGTATATTATACTATTGTTGAATTTTACTTGCTACATATGTTTTGGTGGTTCTTTAACTCCACCATCGTCAGGCTTACAAAAAGATCCACTTCTGGAGGTGTCGTCAGAATACGTAACAAACATTTAACACAAAACACGAAACGATTACAGATAGACCTATCAATTCACGTGTGTACATTGCCATCGGCAGAACTGGAAGTAAACTGCTACTGCAGGTTCAGGTTATGACGGACCGACGTGGTCTCTGGAATGTTGTCTGCGTTTTCAACAGCTGATATTGGACTATTGTAGTGGCTGAGAAGAGTGTTGTAAATATTTGTT